TTTAAGGCCTATAGCATTTCAGACGAAAGGAGCAAAGTTCACAAGGAGATTAAGGAACATGTGAAGCTGGCAGGCCGCCTTGACCGGGATGCAGCTCTAGCGAAGATCATCCAATTGATCAAGGAGTATCAGATGAAACCCGAGAGTATGGAGAAGCTACAAAGTGCAGTTAAGGCCTTCGAGAACAATGAGGACGAGGATTGGGGCGTAGGCAAAGCATGACTTAATGATTTGATTCCCTGTCTACGATGTTGTCTGTATACATGTGCCGTAATCCGAACAAAAATGATCATGAACCGCGAAGTTGATGTATCAAATAAAAAATACAAGTGCGCCACTAATTTGAACGAAGAGAAGCCCGTAGAATAACTTTGTATAGGACCAAGAGCTGGTGTGATGGTTAAATGGAGGATATACGTGAAAGGAACACAGCTTCCTTCTACTAATGCAGGCTGCTTCAGCTTGCACAATGCCCTTTCCGGAGTTTCCCTCATGTAGCTCTCGACCAAAAACGTTTCCCTTCTGAACGTGCCAGATGACATGGTTGAAGACTCATGAAGAGCCCTTGAAGTCCCTAGCAGTCTGCTGTTCGTGTTACAACCGAGTGAGTAGAACATCGTAGGCGAAAGATGAGTACCGACTATAGATGATGAGGTATTCGATAAGTTCATCGACCGCTCTGTGCAACTATTGCGAAAAAAATCCCAGGAAAAGGCGCAGAGGTGAATCCGATGATATATCCCATTGAAGGACGTTCGTGAATGCTTGTTTAGTACTGATTCAGAAAGGTGGTGAAAAGTTGATGGGGAACACCCAAGTAAACAAACTATATCTCAAGAACCTGAACGTGAAGGACGGACTCGTAACGTGAAGATTGTGGGGGCCGCCGTGGGATGGCCAAGGGATGGCTGGACACTGGACTCTTTGTCAGTCTCTCCAGTTGTTGACCTCGTCATGGATGTCCTCAGGCTCCCGTGTTGTAGATTTTCCTGTTCTCCTCGTCTCGTCTGGTTCGCAGCTGTAAAGGACACTGCAAGGCTCAGAATGGTTTGTGGGAGATTGTTGGCAGTTTTGTGGGTGTTTGCCGCCTCTTTCCTCTATGTACCTTCCTCAATGGTCGCAGATTCAGCTAAGTCGGAATGCACAAATGACAGCGACTTCTCGAGGAACAACAGCTCATTGCAAGTCATAACTCAGGTTTGTATCTCGGTGTAGGTTTTCAATGAACGATATATTGGTTGTTCTGCGGCGGGCAAGGCGCGTTGGGGCGGGTGTGGTAAGCTCTGCGGCCATGATACTTGCCATCGCTCATGCTATTCCTCTTCAGGCTATCGAAGTACAACACAGAGCCAGCAAGGACCCAGGGAGCTACCCAGGTTTGAAGCACCTCGTACCGCACAGACCAGCTTCTCTGTTCCACGCTGAGCAGCACCGCACGTCTACGTAGTGCTGGGCAATGGATTTGAAGCCGGCAGTGAGAAACCCTCGGATAAACTTGGGTCGATCTTGAACAGTGAGGAGCGCTTTCCTGGCAGCCTGAAAGGAAACTGATTGATAAATCAGATATGAAGAGCTCCCGTCGATGAGGGTTTAGTACCTACCATCTCAGCACGTTGAACTGTCCGAACCATTGGGTATCGTGACCGTCGTTGTAATGTTGAATCTGTTGTTCTGGTAAGGTCACAGACAAGTGAGAACAGATATAACACACCCATCTCGACTTGAAACGTCGATGTACTGCTTGTAAAAATAGGATCTGTGACGGTGATGAGATACACGAGTTCGCCATCTGATTGGACACGTCATTTTGGTGAAACACTTCAAAAGGTCATAGACCCTTACATACGGAACCCGTAATCTGAGCCGATCATGAACATCGAGTTGTAAATCCCTTCTGGGGTGAAGATTTCTTGCGACTGATTATCAGGGACTACGTGAGAGCTGAGGTGGGGGACAATTCTGTTTATATCAAGAATGATCAGCTTCAAGTTCGTACGGGGTAAAAGCTCAAGAAGAACTCACAAGCAGTGTGTACAGATTGAAGGTACTGTTTGTATCAGTGCCAAGCTGGCAGTGCCTAACTCTTAACAGGTTGCAGCCACGGCTCCAGATGGTGTGACTGCCACGATGTCCTTGATGGTAAGACCAAAGTACCATTTGTGCCAAGGGTTAACTTGTGTGAAGGGAGGATATGTCGCGCCCAGTGGTCAAGAAGTCAGATGGTGGTGACCGCCACGATGTCCTTAACGGTAAGAACAGTCAGCTTCAGAAAAAAACGAAGCGCAAGAAACAACCCACCGTGAAGGGCGCGAGATCGAAATCTCCGCACACTCGGGGGTGGGGAAGGAACGAGCTACCTAAGTGCCTTCATGAGGTGCTTTAGACAGTGGCAAATCTGGAAAGTCGTTTACCGCTACGAATACTCCCGCAAAGACAGGTGTTTAGAGGGAGGGAGTGTCGCAATCCAGCGAACTTCCAGCATCTGCTTATTGGTGCAAAATTCCATATACAACTGACTTGGTCAGGTGCCAGACTCGACGATAGAGCAGCATGACGGCTTAGAGTTACAGTTAGCAGTTTAGGGCCGTGAACTTCTACCAATGATTGATGAAAACTTACTATTGTCCTGACTGGAGCCCCAAACATCCCACACCACACGGTTGTAGCCATATCAGTGCTTCTTTGACGCATGCCTAGTTCGGTATAAGAAATTATCTAAATGACGACCTTTTGATGAGACAGAAAAAACACGGATGCGAGTAAAGCACGTACGTTAAAAAACGGATTGATCTCCGACTTCATGGATGGTGGCAAACTTGGACTCGTGCATTGTTCTTCACACCAGTCGACTGGATCGAAAGAACAGTCACTTTGAAACACCTACGACCGACTACGCCTGAATGCCGTACTCAAACCTATCGAGGTGCGAATATCAGTCTGAAAAGTCAACGTTTCCACTGAAATCGTTGGTACAAACCCCTTGATTTTCCGCAAGCGCGCTGACACCTCGCAGTACAAGCCAGAACCGAAGCTCTGCTGAGCTAAAGTTGAGAATGAAAGCATCACGCAGGTTCACCATCAACTCAAGCACAACTGGGACGAAGGACTTCAAGCACGCTGACACTAGTACAATCCTCGCTTGCCGACGAGGCCCGGGACGTAGTGGCAGTACAGATCGTGTTCAGAGATGGTGGAGAACTAAAGAGGTAGATGGAGCCGGTCGGCCGGCCATGCTGGTTTCGAATCTAAAGTTCGACTCGACGGGGTGGGGAGTCGAAGACGAACTCGACGAAGCCACGCCACGGTAGCAGGAGTGATTGGCATCCTCGAAGATGAAATCGACGTCGAAGAATCCCAAGAGGGAACATCACCCATACCAGGCACAATACACTCCTGCAAAGGTTCAACTGACAAAAATGCTCCACATGATCGTTCGCGTCCGCCGTCTGTGATTGGGCTTGAGAAGCACAAACAGCCGATCGTTATGTGCGTATTGCGTGGAGTAGAGGTTGTGTCCCCAAGTCCAACCTTTTTGGGCCTCAACTGTCTTTCACGTCATTCAAGCCCACGAATACCTCCTCACTGGAAACCTGGAATCAAGCACAACGCCCTCAGCCGTGGCCTGCGCCCACCTAGCATCGAATACGTCAATTCTAACAATGGACGGAGAATGTGGAAGTGACGAGGAAGTGTTAGTGGTGTCCGACGCATCGAGGGAAGTTTGTATGAGGGTAGGGATGAAGATTTGAAGTGAGGGGGAGGCAGTTGAGGCGGAAGACGAGGCTTTCGAGGTGGAATGGGGGATTGAGGCGGAAGGGAAAGTTTGGAGGATCACCTTTAGGAAGGGCCGAGGAGGTTCTTTGCGAAGGCTCTGCACGCAGGGATGGATGCTGGCGAGGTCGGCCATGTAAACTCGGATGGCGGGATTACTTAGGATCTGAAGATCTTTGAAGGGGCGAGGGAGTGCGAAGGAGGGTCGAAGCCATGTGCTTATGTTAGGTTTATGTGAGGGGTGTCGGATAGTGCTTCAACGAGTCCTGGTTTACACCGACTGCGAGTCGCGTACGAGCACTGTGTGTGTTTCTAGAGTCGTGGCCTGTGAGTAGGCCTCAGTGAGCGGGACTTGATCATCACGCGCATCTGAGGATGGCCATTTTATGTTGTAAGAAAGAAGCTCAAATTCGAGAGACGTACCTTTGTGTCAAAGTTCTAAGTATGTTTGTAGTTGCAACTCAAGGCCATGTTGGACGAGGAGGAACAAGTCACGAGCACCGTGCGCATGATTGTCGTCGTCGAGATTTTAGTGAGGTTTCAACCGCCTCTGCTTCGGCACCACGCAGTTGTTTGAGGAGGTTCTCTACAAAAACAGCACTCCGTCAACCCAACCTCCATGTACCCTCCTAGTAAGTCCACAATCGCGTCATTCATCTCCTACCAACTTATCCAGACATAACCAATCCAGTCTAACCTATTCGCCGTACGCGAGTACCTAAGCCCAGTGAGCCCCATGATCCGCCATCATCTCACCGTCACCAATCAAATCACCCACCTAGGTTCTCAAAGAGAGCAAATACGAAGAACACAGCCGTATACACTTGGTACATCCACGATCATCTACGTCCGAGTCATTTACTCAAGAGCAACAGATAAATTCGTCGCGGGGGTGACTTTTTGGTGCACAAGTTCCCCGTGGGGCATGGTAAGCCCCTCTCCATTCCTCGTCTCGTCTCGTCGCGAAAACTGAGTTGTAACTTATGAACAGGGAAAAAGGAGACATCCCCCAATCCCGAGACCTCCTCCCACCAGACAAACAATAGCTAGTAATGCGTGGCATCCCCAGTGAAACTCAATGCAATGCATTTAAATTTCCTGCTCAACAGGCCGTCTTCTTTTCTTTCTTCATAACCACCACCTTCGCCTCCGCCCACTCGACTAATGCGCACGCCGTCGCTCCACAGCCAGGATGATCCCATCTCCCCGCCGCCCTCAAACCTTCACCCATGGAGACGGAGGCAGAGCGTACGTCCCGTCTGTACGCAGAAGCCGAGGCGAAACGGGTATTTGAGCAAATCGACGACGACCTGCGGGAGGAGCGGGAGCGATTGAAGAAGAGGAAGGGCGACGTCAAGGTCAGTGCGCTTTACGATTATGCGCCGCATATACTCATCCTGCGCTGCTAGCTTCTTCTCCTTGGTCAAGCCAAGAGCGGGAAATCGATGCTGCAGAAACAGTTCCAGCTCATGTATAAACCCACTTCGATGGATCAAGAACGCGCATCTTGGACAGCGGTCATCTACTTCAACGTCGTTCATTCATTGAAACACATCCTAGCTACGCTTGAAGCTTGGGACGACACTCTCGACGAAGACGCCGAGGCGCAACCTACATCGACGGACGATTCACAGTCTATCATACCAAAGAAGGCTCGCGGGAACGGTATCGCAGATCAGCCGTCACCATCTACTTCTCTCTTGACCGGCAGCATCATCCAAGGATCACCAAGTTCCCTGATGCCGTCGGATGCCGGCGGCTCCCACTCCCATTCGATGAAAGAGGGCGGCGCCCTTCAGATAGCCAACCTTCGACGCAGACTGTCTCCATTGGTTGCTGCGGACGCGCAGCTCGCGGACAGACTCAGTGGTGGAATCTCGGTGTCTGGTTCTGGTAAGGGCGGCGTCTTTGTGCATAGTGGTTGGCAGGCCCGTACCATCGAGAATGCTCTCAGAAGGATCAAACAAAAACGCCCTTCGGCCGAAAGCGAAAAGAAGACTCGTGAGATTGAACCGCAGGACCCTTTGGTTCAGGACGTTGGGTGAATGCTGGAGCTCTCCGTTCAGGATATCCGGGAGTTGTGTTGTGGCATCATCCCACTGTCAAGGGGTTAATCGCCAACGGAAACGGAAACTTGATGAATGGTCCGAGTTGTACGTCGCCTACCTTGATCTCTAGTATTCTTAAGAACATCACGCGTGTCGCATCGCCGGACTACGTCCCAAGCATAGGTAAAGTAGTTATTCTTGCTGTTTATCGCGCATATATTCACCTTATCCCACCAGACGACATCCTCCATGCTCGTATCCAAACTATGGGAGTCACTGAGCACATCTTTGATGTGAATATCCACGGGAAATCTGTGACCTGGCATCTATTTGACGTAGGTGGTGCTCGAGGACAGAGACACTCGTGGGTGCCATACTTCGATGATGCGAACGCTATCATTTTTGTTGCTCCCGTGAGCGCATTTGATCAGGCGAGTCTCTTTCTCTTCCCTTGGCGTTCGCGCCGTCCTCCATTTCTATCACTTCCTTTCGAAACGTGGCAACCACCAGCGTGCTTCTCTGTTTCGTTTTGTGGCTACTTTCTCAACTCTCATTTTTCGGCCATGTTGTTGGTAACCATGCTAACAAATCCATTTAGTATCTCGAAGAAGACCCTCGGACGAACAGGATAGACGACTCGCTGCAATTATTCATGCAACGATGTTCGAACGCCCTGCTGAAGAACGTTCGCTTGGTACTCTTCCTGAGTGCGTAAATGCGCTGAGGCTCTTCTCGTCGTTCCTTAGTGCTCATTCATCACAATTTTTCTTACAGATAGGACGGATCTGCTCAAGGCGAAGCTCGACACCGGACTCAAGGTCCGGAAGTAGTGAGTCACATTTGCAACCAGGTTTTCATCACTCGCCCCTCATCAGCATCACGTCCTTCAGCGATCGGTCCAACGATTACGAGACCGTCGTTCAATACTTCCGCGCTCACTTCCTGCAGGTTCATAGACGAAACAACGAGAATCGTCAGGTGCTGTATACTCATTTTACGAGTGTAGTGGTGAGTTGTTTTTCGGCGAAACCTAAAAAAAAACTTTCTCATATTTGACGTCTAGGACACAAAGGCGACGCAGCGTATCATTGGAAACGGTACGCTCCATTGCAGCGCCTTGGATTGTTTTGCTGACTGTCTTGTTTAGTTCGCGACTCAATCTTCCGAGGTTACCTCCAGTCTGCAGCCCTCGTTTGATCTGCTTTTGCTTCCTCTTGCTAGATCCCACTGCTCTCGTCGCATCTACATCATTGATCGTTGTATTCACTCTGGTATCCTGGCTACTATGCCCGTCGCATCAAGATTCGCATTGTCATCCTCAACAATCCCGCCATATTATATCCCCTTGCAATGTCCCCCCTAATCCTTAATTCTTCTGAAACCTCTCACCCTGCATACATCTAAAAGGTTTATTGACCGCTACTCTTGCCGATTTTCCCCTCTCATGATCATGATCATGTACCATTCTTCTCCAACAAGTCATCTTCTGTTATCCACATCCCTCAAGAAAATGTATAAACTACACACGCTGTCCCTTCTCCGCGCTCTGATCCCGACTACGTTTTTATTGTCGTATTATACAATGCTGTATGTGTAATTAATTGGTGATGATAGTCCATTTTTTGCTTGCCCATCCATTGCAGACCGCGACCTATTGACTCCTAAGTATGTGGTGATTCTTTGCAAAAAAAAAGAGAGTCATCGGGGTTTTTGTCGTAGAAATGGAGATATGGTCCTGTTTCAGAGCTTGCTGATATCATATCCTATCAGGTTATTTCTCTCTTCATTTCAATCATCGGAAATTGACAATCTATTTTTATGAGCAGATTGGCGCGGCCCGAGTGAGGTGCAAGAGCATGGTGTTCGAATAGCTAGGCATATTCCCGCTACGTCAGTAGTGGGTTTTGTGGTGCGAGCTCGATTAAAACTAAGATCACGTGCCAAAATTTCCCATCACGCTTTCTTTGGGGAGGCGCAATGCCTGCGAAATCAATTTGTGTTTGCACCTATTTGGTCTCCCTATACATGGACGAGAATCAAGGAAAATCAATATTCTGCGTGACCCAGCACAATATCCGGAAATATTAATATACAAATTGGGACTAAAACAAGTTTTTTAGGGAATGGCCCGAGAATTTCCAAAGCAAGTCAATGATGAGGTGTAGATATCTCCCTGATCTATGGGGAGCAGTAAGATTATTTTTGATATTCTCGGGCCATTCCCTGAACAATCAAAAATAAAGTGTAGTCTTACTATAAAGTGTAAGGCCCATTGTCCGTGCAAAGTAGTTATTTTGTTTTCAAAACTGCCTGCGAAACGCGCTAAATTAGATTACATAATCATGCGAAAGAGACGTCGCGTCGCGTCAACGCGTCGATGATACACATTCTCAATGACTATTAGGGCCACTCTACATTATCTCTACTACCCAAATTACTCCCAGAAACTTTTGATGACACAAAGCATTGCCCAAAGGCCAAAAGCAGTGCTCCAATGCACAAATTGAGTCTCAGCACAAGGCAGATCTCGCTCGTTGGCCCAACAGATGTGACAAGGAAGCGGAAACATGGTGTCTTCATTTGGAAAATTTTATATGACCTCAAGCATGAACTATCTGACTACAAACAGCAGATAAAAGGCCAGAAAACGAGCCTCATTTTATGACTTTGACAAGACTCTGACTATCATGATGACCTAGCATAGTCACCAATTCAATTTTACCGCACATTCACATTGTGATCTAACATACATTTACTATGCCTTTACCAGCCTAGAAATTGTAGTGGAACACGAGGAAATTATTTGGGAAGATAAAACGAGACATTTGGCAGGATTTGTGTGGCTGTGCACTTAGTCATCTGGTCAAATCAGTTGCAGGCATTGCGCCTCCCCACTTTCTTCCACTCGACGTGAAAGCCGCCCGAAAGGTCACGTTTTCTTACCTCTAGAAAGGTCACGTTTTTCCTGCTACCTCACGTATTCGACCGTGAAGACAGATGAAAGGTCAACCAGTCATGTCTCCCTGATACGTCATGTCTTTCGTTTAGGAGAAAAGTAATATTCGGACATTTCCTCACTACGTCATATTGTAAGTGTGAGCGCTCGTCATTACAAATCTGATGGCTTCTTTGTTTGAACTGGAGTATACACATCGATGCCCCTTTTCAATCGCTCGTCTCGGCCGCCGCAGATGTCCCTAATGCTTCTGAATCAGGAGGTGAGATTGTTTGAAAACTCCTTTTTGATATTTTCGTTCTTATGGCAGTCGCACAGTCCTGAGCGTGACCACCCCACCCTAGATTGTGTCGACTTTCACCCTGGGGATACCTTCGCAGTCAAATCATGCTGTTCACCGAAAACAGCTTCAAGCTCGGCGGCGAATTGGTCAGAGCCATCGTCACCGGAAACGCTGAATCCGCAGTATCTGCACGTTATCTCTCTGCTCGAAGCTTTCAACCACGGATTCAGCATGGATATTTCAATGAACTGGTCTCTACCCAGACTTTGGGGGGGGTGTTCACCTGTCTAATTTCCTTTAAACCTTGTGAACTGGCGGACGATGTGGATATCGCACTTGGGCTTGACTGGTTAACACATCTTCGGGAGCATCTCTGTGAACTGGGCGCTCTATCTCCACCGTCTAATGCCGTGTGTTGTCTCCGTTACTCTCTTTGAGCGCTTTGATCACGTCATTCATTATAGCCGTCTAATTTGCCCGAGGGTTCCCAATCGGTAAGCTATTCTTAATGGTTGTTAAATGTTTTCTAATTTTATAGAACACGTCCGATGATATGGCTTCAAATCCAGCTGATCAGGGGGAAGTGGGTGTCACGGAACGTGCTCCCCACATTATCAGACAAATTTTTTGCGATTATAACACGTCCATGTCTTTCTTCTCCAATGACGACATTTTGACAAGTCTTCTTGCTCAACATGGGATCTTGCGCGAGCAATATAGACCGAGAGAACAATGTTCGATGTTAGTTCATCATTTACTGTACGGCATGTGTTCGAAATTTGAAGGAATTGCCTGCAAATCCCTTTGTCGAGACAGAACTGAGGTGGTTGCTTGTGGAAAGTACCTTACTAATCTAGTATTGGAAGAACATATTTCGGGTAACATTACGTTGAGCACATTCAAAGAAATTTGCTATGTCTTGGGATTTAGAGCGTCGATTAATCAGTCGCTATCTATTCAAGAGGAACTTTTGAAGTTTTACCGCGATAGACTAGACACTTTGAGTCGTCCCCCAACGTTAGTCGATACCGCTGAGTGTTTGAATGAACAAGAAACGATGATAAAGTCGTCATTGGCTATGTTGGCCGGATCACATGGACTTCACTGTTCAGGTTCTGTAGAAGACTTGAGAGCTCGTTTGTTCTCTCACATTTGCACGGGCCAATGCAAAGTTGACTCGAGTAACAATATCATACCAGACGCTTGCCGTAACGTGGTAGACCAAGTCCCGCCTGTCCCAACTGAAGACTTCGCTTTGACGCTGATAGCGTCAGCTATTCATCGCTTGTCTGGTCGTGCTTTACGGCGTGTGGCCACGATGCAGCGAATAGCGTTTCCGACCTCGGTTTCTGTGTCCAAGTTAAGGCGTCTCGTGAAAAAACACCTTGTATCGACTGCCAAAGGGAAACTTGTTTTAGAACGTTCTACTTTGAATCACGCTATCGATACACGACAAAGCGAACTCAACCATATTCGAGCGAGGTGGCCTGAAAGAAAATCAGAAGCTTTTTTGCAATCTCTTATTGAAGAGTTTAAGGCGGATACATCGTCTGGTGCTCTGTCCAACTCGACTTGTGCATGCTGCAGCGAAAATATATTACTGTCTGAATTAAAAGATGTTCCTTTAGAGGAAATCGACTTGACATTGTTAATGCGGCCAGATTGTACAAGAACGGACTCGGAATCTGAGAACAATGAGCATGAAGATCTGCCACCTTGGTTACATCCCGACATCATCCCCCCTCCCATGCCGTTTCACGATGGAATTCTAGCAAACGTGCTGGTGGATCCAAAAGGTGTCATGGAGTCATCGGATGGCAGGCCAATTAAATTATCTCTTTGTCATTCTTGCAGGACGGATTTGGCCTCTCATCGGTTGCCCCGTCTAGCATTAGCAAACCGGTTATACATTGGAGAAGTACCCGACGTGTTGAAAAACTTGTCTACCATTGAGGAATCAATGATTAGTCTGTGTCGAGCGAAATGTACTATAATACACTTGAAAGCTGATGGTGGTGATAAAGAATCACCTGACCGAGTGATGCCGAATCATCAAAGAGGCATGAGAGGGCACATCATTATGCATGCCCAACGTCCAGATGTCGTGGCCGAAATGTTACCTCCCTCTATTGAAGACATTGTTTCTCTGATATGTGTGATATATACTGGTGCGAATGCCCCTAGTCAAGAATGGTTGAAAGAAAATGCGAAACCTCTCACAGTCAGAGCAGATAGAGTACGGAAAGCGCTCATGTGGTTGAAGCAACACAACTACTTATACAGGCATATTACCATTAATTCGGCTGTGCTTGATGAAATCCGTCAAGTAGGTCATTTACCTTTTCATGTTGAACATATTCCCCCTCCTCAACACGATAACGACGCTTCGACATCAGGATACGTAAATAACCAGGCGCCAGACGAAAATCAAAATGGTGGAGACAATATCCCATTTGAAAGTGTTCTCATAACCGATGTGGATGGACATGCTTCGGCGAATGTATTACGCGCGGCCGCTATTCGACATTTCAATAAAGTGGACAAGGGTTACTTGGAAATGCCACATAACCCTAAGCCAGAAAATGAGTTCTGGAATCCACAACTGTTTCCCAAACTATATCCAACTCTGTTCCCCTATGGAATAGGTGGTTTTGAAGATCCCCGACGACTTCGGCGAGTTTCTTTAAAGGACCAAACACGTCACCTGTTAAACCTTACTGATAATCGATTCCAAACCCACCCGTCCTTCATGTTCATGCTTTTCAATGTGCTTCAGAGAAGACAAGTTTTGCTAAATACAAGTGCGAAAATGAAAAAATCAACTTTCGACAGCATGGCATCTGACTTCGTTGGAATATCTGCTGACGACATTGAGGCGGTCACCAATCGGGTTGCATGTGGTGATTACACAACCGCGTACACAGACAGCGAAAAAAAAGTTCTACAATTAATGAGAGA